AGAGAGAGAGAGCAAATGTATGCTGCAGAGATTTTCATAAAACGAGAGTTCAGCAGAAGAAAATAAATTCTAAACAAGAGAAATTAATATTGTAAGAGAATTTTTACGATACACTGAGAAAAGTTAAGGAACTTTTCAAGTGTCACTTTGTAACGACAGGATTTCTCCCCTTGGGCTGGAATAGCTCGTCGGGGTCCAGGGGTTCGTACAGATATTTTATTTATCGAGACAGAAAGAGAAAGACAGTGGTTTACGTTTTGATATTATGTTTTATTTAAAAAAATAATTTGAATTATATATAAACTCTATATATTCTAACTAGCCTAATCGTCTTCGGTCCGGGTTTGGTGGTTCTTCCACTCGAGACCTGGATAAGTACTCGAGAACGGGATAAGGATACAGGATCAGGGTGTTCAGGATTCGGATGGATTCCGTGCGAGAGACCTGGATAAGTACTCAAGCAGGCTACTGGATATTCAAGGATACGCTATAGGGATCTAGACTAGGGTTGCCAGAGACCTTAATAAGTACTCAGGCACTACAGGATGTTCAAGGATACGATTGCGAGAGACCTTAATAAGTACTCAAGCACTACAAGGATCTAGGATATGTTTAAGGATACCACTCGGATTCAAGGACTAGAGACCTGGATAAGTACTCTAGGCAAGGATGTCCAGGATAAATTTCTATATAGGCACTTACCGGTCTGGTGTTGTCTCGTTCACTGTCTTGCACTCACTGTCGCTGGTGTTGTCACGGTCACGGTCTGGCACTGATTGCCCCGATTCTGCCATTGACTGCCCTTTTATACCCGGCTCCACCACGTGTTCGCAGTGGAGTAACGGGAACTTGTTTACAAAAAATTTAGTTATCACAACAACATCACATGTGCTCATCACCGCCGATGGTAGTGATGAGTGATGCTGTGTGTTGTTGCGATAACGGTTTACCTCTCTTGAGTGGCAATTGGAATTTATGATAGCGTTTTGTGTGGGCAAAAATGACGAAGGATTTTTGTCGTCACAACTTCTTTCGTTTAATTTATTGTTACTTTATGATTTATCACACTAAAAATATTCTCTATATCCTCAGTCATATCATTACAGAAAATATGGAAATAAAGGTCTCTGTGGACGACATCCGTTCCACGACATTTGAAGGCAATATAGCCGTTTGTCTGTATGGCTGGCTAGTGTGCAGGATAACTCTTGAATGGAGTATCAATTCCTTCCAAACTTGGTGCATCGTATTGATATTATCAAACTTAAATTGCGTTTGGAGATGGACGATGTCGGTCCACTCCTTCGGGCTCCTCCCCCACAAAAGTATACACTTTGCAAAGAAAATAATTAACCTTAAGGAAGAACCCCCTCCCTCACAAAAGTAAACAATTTGCAAGGAAAATAATTAACCTTAAGTAACACGAAACTATTCAAACTTAGCAAATCTTAATATTTGTATTAGTCGATCGGTCAGCTTCTTCTAGTACCTCCCTACACAAAAGGGTCAAATTTTGAATAAACACAGCTCTTGTAAAATGTGAAATAAAAGTCCGACTATTTGTATTAACATTTTATTTAGTATAAAGATAAAGACTGTGGGCTGATTCTTAATGGTACGTCCCTAGAAAGGCACATATATAAATTAATGTTCCATTAGTTTTTATAGGCTCCACCTTGGAAAGACGGGTATAACAACTTTGTCATTCCGTTTGTAACATCCCTAAATATTCGCCGTAGACCCCACCCCCAAAGTATATATATTCATGATCAGCAAAAAATTCTTAGTCTAAGTCGACATAACGATGTCAGTCTGTCTGTTGAAACCACGACACAGTCCACAATTGTTTGTATTGTGCGTAGGTATTGAAAATATCGGTTTGCGTATATCGGCCCACCTCCCGATATTCGGTATTTGAAGATTATTCACATTTTTGTACGGATTTGTCCAAAAATTGGTATTTGTAGTTTGTAATAGGTTCTTGCTCCGGTGGCGGAACATTGTTTATATATGTCCACTTTTTCGGATAGCACCCGATATTCAGTATTTTCATTATTTTTGCCACCTTTTTCCACGGATTTAAACCCTAAACAATATACTCCTTATGGCATGATATGACTAAGGCCATTCAAGAAACTAAATTCATTGAATTTAAAATTTAAAACTTGTAATAAAAAAAATTAAATAAAAAATTATAATTGTATAAATTTTTTTTCTTACAGGTTGACAAAATTCCTTTACGGATCTGCTCAAATAAAAAAGGTAAGTATTTTATGTAATTTTTCTGTCATATATGCTCTCATTCAGCTTCATGATTTCTGAGTGATTTCGAAGAATGATGAGAAAAAAATCTTGGATTTTTATTTAAAAAATCACATTTTTGCGCCAATATTAAATATGATATAAATATAAGGTCCATCATTCCTCTCTTACCAATACTCCTCATAAGCGGCCTACATTTTAAAAAATCTTATTTTGCATATATGAACAGTCTGAAGTCTATGATTATGTCCAAACCTTTAATAATGTATCAAGCTTAGGTCAGATAGCCGAACCATTACCACAAAGGTGTTGACATATTGAATAATCATAACTCAGAAATTATTGCGATTACTCATTGATTTTCTTCAAGCCTAAAGTATCCAAATTTTTTGGCCAGTAAGATTAGTTTTTAAATGGAAAGTATCGGAAATTTTTGGAATGCATACATTAATATTTGTTTTTTCAAGCCATTTTTATTTGCATTTATTACACGAGCTTTTCTCCAAAAGTCAAATTTTTAAAATTGTAATGTGTTTGTTAATTTTTGACCACAATCCAAAAAATCTATAATTTTTAAGTATTTATTATCAAACATTTTAAAAATATTTTAAGGGACATCCGATTTTTTAATAAAATACTTTTCAAAGATCTTTTACTCGAATCATGATAGTGAATTTTCTTTAAAAAAAAAAATTAATGTATTTCTTACTGGCCATGGTGGATGCTCTACTGGCCTAAATGTATTAATTTTTGAGAACACTGCTGACCAAAAATACTGGATTTAAAAAAAAAAAAAATTGTAAATGGTTTTTGACTTCAAAATCGTTTTATATTTAATTATATTTGTTTAGAACCCTTCTGCCAAAAAATGGAGTATTTTTAAAAAAGTATTTGCAAAATACCAAAATGCTAGAATTCTTCCCTGTCCTTAACTCTCTTCTTAGGCGTGTTGATCGGCTTCTACTGTGTGATCAGGAAAATTTTTCTGTTTTTGGTTCACTTGAACCCCTAAATATTTTGCTATCATCTCCAAAAGCAAGAGGACCGTCTTTATCTACAAATTTAGACTCATCTATATGATTTGCTCGTCTACGATATTTGGCTATATTCGTCAACGAAATCAGTTTAAAAAAGCAGAAATTCGAAGAAGTAGAAAATGTATACTTCAATATTATAAGTCAAAGTGAAAAAATCGCATGCGATAAAAAATATGAAGAAATGAAAAATTGTAACAAAATACTACAAAATCTATATTAACATCATTATCGGCATCTTTTATGCGATTTTTTAGATGTTATTCTTTTATGCTAAGAGGACATTGTAACTTCGCCGGGATTTAAAATATTCGCGGTTTAGTAGAAAATGTTACTTTTATATAACACAAATGTTATGATCTACTTCACCCACTAAATATTACCCGATGACCATCAAACTTGGAAGGCTTCTGGTCAGCCCTAAGCTCCAGCCCCATGCTTACTTCCGCGTTGATTGGACTATAATTGCGACTTGTAGAGCAACTGCAAAATCAGGAAAATTTTCAGATTTAGGTCCATTTCGACCCCTAAATATTATGGGATCATCTCCAAAAGCAATAGACTTCTATTCCGGCCCTAGTCCCACCTCCATTCTAAGATCGGGCCATAATTGCGACCTGTAGAGTGTTTACAAATTAACATGAACACACGGACGGACATATATAGCTAGATCGACTCAGCTTGGCGAGATAGGAAGATCCATATACACTTTCCTATGTAGGAAGCCAATATTTCGAGGTGTTACATAATGTTTGGCCCAATCAAACTTATCATACCCCAACATACATTGTTGTAGGTATACAAAAGACTCTTCTGTATGAATTTGAACTGTTGTTTCCAAACTTGTTATATAATAACTTAAATCTTAATAAACTATTTATTCCCATGACCGAAATTTCTTTAGAAAGACCCAACTGAGTTTTCCCTAGCAATTGATTTTTTCAATAAATTATAAAAATAAATAATAATAATAATAATAATAATAATAATAATAATAATAATAAAATTAAATAAGCTATTGCCATTTATCAGAAAATTACGATGATTTTCTCTTATTAAATGTTTCCTTTTGCTTCTCTCTTTCAATTTGGTTTCAAATCTCTTCTATCAACATGTTGTAACTACTTCGCCCCGAAAACTCTCTTTGCTGTGGCTATGACAATTTTTCAAAACACTATCTCTTTGCTTAAATACCAACAAGTTGTAACAATTTGTTGATATCTCTAGTGCTCTGCTCAAAATTCCTTTTTCTCTCTTATTCTGCAACACACTCTTTCTCTCTATCTCTCACTCTCTGACTCCTAGAACAAAATGTTTCCAATTAGAATTATGTGTGGCCCAGTAAACACCACAACATGTTGCTAGAGTCACAAACCTCCTTGTTGGGACATGGGCATCCTTTATGTTTGATACAAAATATATGTGTGGCTATATTGGGGTGTGTGTGTGTGTGTTTCTGCCACATTCAACACGAAGTTATGACGATGTCCTACTCAACTCTGGATGACTACGAGAGATACACACACACACACACACACACACACACTATCAACAACAAACCGAAACGAATATGCAACGCGACTCGACTTTACTCGACGCAGCGTTGACGTTGACAACTGACAGCGACATCGGCAACGCCATCCGAGAAAACACAAAGTATCTCTGCTCCAAATGAAAGATTTTCCTATCTCAGTTTTCAGTTTATATTCGTGTCTCGTCTCAGCAACAACGGTCGTCGTCGGTGCTGGGTCTTTTACGCTCGATTTTCAATTTCTTTCCACGGCCAGAGGAATAAGAAAACAGAAAAAAAAATTCAGGCACACACCGAAAACATATGGTCTCCTTTGTATGCGAGTGAATTGGTGTGTGTATGTGTATAGTGTGAGATATATATTTATTTTCTTGTGTGCTTGGGGATTGTTTTGAGTTGTTGTTGTTGTGACATTTTTTTTTTTTTTGGAGACGACCCGTGCTTTTCCTGTACATTGTGATATGTGTCGCCAGCTAGTGAGTGGGGTGTAGGTGAGTGAGTGTGCCTTTTTGGGGGGACATAAATGAGTGACAAAAATAAAAAAGAAAAAAATAGTTTGAAGCCCAAAAGAAGTACTTCAAACCTGAAGGAGAGCCCCTGGGCTCATAAAAACCAAAACACAACTCCGTAATCAAATGAAAGTGAAATAGAATTGTTTTTTTTTTCTTGGTGTGCGTGCCTATGTGTGTTTGTTTTCCATCAAAGAATATTTACATGGGAGAGTGTTATTTTGGTCCAGTGTAAATAGGTGAAAGGCCTTCGCTCGCCCTCATACCACCCAGCCACTAGTGTTATTTTGTGATGTTATGTGAATGCTTGACATTCTGAAATAGCAAAGAAAAAAACCTATGAATATTGAACAACAAATTCGAACTCCTGAATCTTAAGAGATCACCTGCAACACAAGAAAAATAAGTAATCCATGCTGGAGAATAGTTTTAAAGGAGTATTTTTTGAGAAAAAAATAAATGCAATGAATTAATAAAAGTTTGTAATTATCGGTCGTTGGCATATCGGTTGGTCGTTTGTTTTGGTCCTTGGTACCTCTTATGTTTTGTTTGCTAAATTTGATTTTTTGCCATCCCCGCCCTCCATGGCCACATGTTGGTCCATTTGTGGGTATGAGTGTGCAAATGAGCAAATATATGTTTAATTCGATCTCTTTAGCCTAAAGATCCATTTTCTTTTCGTTTTTATTTATTTTTTTTTTTTTGGAATTAACAGAAACCGAAAATCCCCACAAAACAACATTGTCATCTGTGTTTGTGCGTAAAACAAGCGAGTGAATGAGTGAGTCGGTCGATTGTTTCTTAAAAAAAGTATGCCGAGAGTTTAAAAATAAACAAAAAACAACGCACTGCCTGCCGGCCCCTTAAAGTGGAAATCATGTTGTAAAGATAGATATTCTAAGAGCAAACAACAACAACCAAAATTGGGGACAACAAACCAAAGCAAAGAAAAAAAAAAAACAAGAAATCTCAAAGAAAAAAAAAAAAAAGAAATACCCCAAAGTGGAAAATAAAAGCAGGCATTTTACACTAAATCATCACAAAATTTGATTATGAAGCAAAAACAACAACATTTTGCCTCCAACATCTTGGAAAGGTTAAAAGTTTCTTAAATTAGCAAAATTAAAAAAAAAAGAATCTCACATAAAAATAGCTATGAGAAAATAAACATCTTCAAGAAAAAAAAACATAAATTCTAAAGGAAAAAAATAACAAAAAGAATTCCATTAAATCAACACCAACCAACCAACAATCCAATGGAATTCCCCAGAGTAAAACATAAAACGAAATATGGGCAATTTTCATAATTCAAATTAATTAACAGTCATAATTTTCGTTACAAAATCGCCAACAGCAGCAGCGGCCATTTACATTCTAGATTCCGCGTTGTTTTTTTCAACCAGTGTTTTGTTTGGCTCAAATTTATGTGCGTCAATAAGTGAATATAAGTGTTCTTGTTCTTGTTGTCATTATTGTTATTATTGTCATTCCAGTATCATTTATAATACTTAAGGGGAATCAAGCCAAGTGTCTGTTATTAAGATATCACACACACACACACATTCATCTTTACAAAATAAATACATACATACACACAATCAGTGTAAATTACAAATCCCAAGTTACCGCCAACCTCATTGGAAATCCTCAAACCTCAAATCAAAATATCTTTAAGGAATATTCAATTATTCAAATAAAGAGGCAAAAAGGAAAAAAAACCCAAAAAAGTGTGAAAAATAAAAATCCAAAAAAAGATAATAAAAAAAATCAAATTTAATGCTAATATCAGCTAAACCATAAAAAGAGAAAAAAAAAAAAAAAAAAATCCAAAACCAATTCCCCTTAACCAAAGAATAGTGAATTTCCATATTACAACAAAAATCAAAACCTAGCAAAAAGCAAAGAGTGTAAAGCAAAAAATTGATTTCCATATTAAACGAAATAGAAAAAAAAATCAACGAAACAACCAAACACACGGAATTCATAGCCGCTCTTAGCTGGATCAGAGCATACTTTTCCCAAAACATGGAGTTATTTTCAAATGGATGCCAATAACATTGGATAAGAGTTTTTTGTTTAGAAAAAGCATCTGTAGACAGCAGAACATATGAGGTGAGTTTTACTTAACAATACCTGCATACTAAGTATGAAACTTCTTTCGAAAAATACTGGAACAAGTTCAATAAGGATATGAGTTTAAACAAGAAAAAAAACTGTAAGTTCGGCCGGGCCGAACTTTTAATACCCTCCTCCATTTGGTACAAATTTGGAAATTTCCAAAAAAAAAAAAAAAAAAAAAAAAAAATAAATAAATAAAATAAAATAAAATCCGTTTAAAATTCTGTTAAAATCTTAAATATACCAAATGCCTAGCGAAAATAAATGCGAAACTTGACGAAAAATCTATTTAAAATGTAGCTAAAATCATCAAAATACCGAATATAGGGGGTACCGTTATATGGGGGCTATACGAAGACGTGGACCTGCACAGACAATTATCTGGCATGGGCTGAAGTATCCATTACGAACTTAACATGCGAAATTTGAAACAATCCCGGTAAATAATGTCCCTAAAATCATAAAAAATACCGAATATCGGGGGGTACGGTATATGGGGGCTATACGAAGACGTGGATCTACATGGTCCATTTTCTGTTCTATGCTGCAGTATCTATTACGAACTTTAAAATACTAAATTTGGAACGATTCCGTTATATAATGTAGCTAAAATCATCAAAATACCGAATATCGAGGGGTACCGTTATATCGGGGCAATATGAAGACGTGGACCTACATGGCTCATTTTTAGGATGTAGGATGTAGTATCCATTACGAACTTCAAATACCAAATTTGAAACGATTCCGGTAAATAATGTCGTTAAAATCATCAAAATACCGAATATCGGGGGGTACCGTTATATGGGGGCTATACGAAGACGGGGACCTGTACAGGTAATTTTCTGTCTTAGGCTATAGTATCCATTACGAACTTCAAATGCCTAATTGGAAACAATTCCGGTGAATAATTTCGCTAAAATTATCAAAATACCGAATATCGGCAGGTACCGTTTTATGGGGGCTATATGATAACTTGGACCTACATGGCCCATTTACGAACTTAACCTGCCTACTGACAAAATATACATGTGTGCAAAATTTTAGCCTTCTATCTCAATTTGTTTGAAAGATAGCGTGATTACAACAGACAGACACACAGACGGACATGGCTAAATCGTTTTTGAATTTTACGCTGATCAAGAATATGCACACTTTTTTGACATGAGTATTTCGAGGAGTTACAAACGGAATGACAAAATTAATATACCCTCCATAGTATGGTGGAGGGTATAAAAATGTAGAAAAATCTTGACTTATATATCAAATTGTTCGATAAAAGCAGAAGAACCAATCACGGAATCCAAATGCTGAATTTTAGGTAATTCCGTTAGTAATTGAGATAATTTCGAATATCGGGAGGTATAATTATTTTGGGGGCCATAAGAAAACGTGGACTTGTATAGACAATATTCTGCTACAGGAGATAGAATCCGTTATGAACTTTAAATACCGAATGTTAAGCTATTCCGCTAGAAACTGGATATAGGAAGGTACAACTATGTGAGGTTGCAGGAAAACGTGGACCTATAAACGCAATATTCTGCCACAGGAAATAAATACCGAAATACCGAATAGGAATTATTATTACTGTACTAAAAACAAAGTAATAGTAATAAATATAATAACAATGACAAGTCAAAAAGCAGTACGTTCGGCCAGGTAAAACTTTGAATACTACCAATATTTGAAACCAATTTGGAAATTTTCAAAACAAAAACCCTTAAAATCTTAAAAATGATGGAGTGAATGATGTGAATAATGTATCTAAAATCATCAAAATAACGAATATAGGAAGTACGGTTATATGGGGGGTTATACTAAGACCCGGATCGGCATGTGAAATTTTCTGTCATAGGCTGCAGTACCCATTACGTACTTCAAATAATTCTGGTGAATAGAGTCTCTATAATCATCAAAATACCGAATAAAGCTAGGTACCGTACGGCATAGACAATTATCTGTCATAAATCAATGTTCCCATTAGGAACTTCAAATACGAAATTCGAAACAATTCCGGTGAATAATGTCACTAAAATCATCAAAATACAGGATATAGGGAGTTACCGCTATATGGGGGCTATACAAAGACGTAGACCTACCCATTACGAACTATCATTATGAAATTTGAAACGATTCCGGTGCATAAGTTATATAGGGTCTTTAACTAAAAGTGGACCTATGCAGTCCATTTTCATTATCAAATGTTTGGCAGACGAAACATATATTTGAATAAAATTTTATCAACCTACTTCGATTCGTTCGGAAGCGACAGTGATTTACGCAGATGAATGCACAGACGGGCTGTCATCGTTAAATCTACATAGACTTTTATCCAGAGAATAGTCGCAGTATTTTAATAAGTAGACATATTTTATTTTTTGTGGGGCAGGCTTTTCTTTATTTTGTACAGGGTGAGAAAAAAAGCTGCAACAAAGCCAAATTCCATACTTTTTAATTGAATTAAATGAATGCCAAAAATGTCGGAAATATCATAAAATTTTAGAATAAGTTTAGATTTGTTCGAATTGGTCACCTTTGGCACGAAATGTGGCCTTCAAACGGACAATGAAACCGTCAGACGCTGCCCGAATGTTCCTCTGCGGTATTTTGACTCATTCTATCGACACTTTGGTATTATTTAGTGCCAACCTTGCTTTCCAAAATACTCCAGACACAATAGTCCAACGGATTGATATCCGGAGATTTTAGTGGTCATTGTGCGCTGGAAATGAAGCGAGGAACCTCATTTTGTAACCATTCTTGGGTGGCGCGTGCTGAGTCCTGCTGGAATGTCCAAGGTCTGCGGCCAAAATGTTTGCATGGCCAAGGCTTTAATACACCCTCCAGAATATTTTCGCGATAATATTCGGCATTTATTCTGATGCCACGGTCGAATAATTCAAACGGAGAGCGACCATCGGGCCGAGCTAATTTTTCAATATTTGCCGAATGGAATATTGCGATATGTTCAGCTTGCGAGCCATTTTTCGGCCACTGCGACTGCAGGTTTCGATCAAGTCGCTTCTTTACTTTTCCAACCATTTCTTCTGATGTTGCTGTTTTCTTCCGTCCACTTCTTTGACGTCTGGCTACGCTACCAGCATTGCGGTAACGAGCGATGGTACGAGACACCAAAGATTTATTCACATTTAAATGCTGGAGTGCTCTAACGATAGCCACATGTGGTTTTCCAGCCAAATGTAAAGAAATCACACTATCACGCTTCAAATCCATCACGAATAACCTTTTTTCTGGAAAAATCTCACTTAAATGCTTTTGTACGCTTGTAAACAATATAATGAGCTATCACTGGAACAATTTTAACAGTTATCGGACAAGTGGCTTAGAAAAGACAGCGGTATGAAGTTGGTTGGAGTTTTTTTCATCTCACCCTGTAAAGCCGAGCGAAGTATTCTATGTTCATGCCTTACCCAAGAAAGATAAGAATATTGGTATGGGCAAAATTTCAAAACAATCGAACATTTATGTCAATTTTAATGCGAAATCATACATTCCATATTCATCTCAGGATATATCCCATCTTCACAGCAGATCTTGTGTTAGTAGAAATAATGGGATGTTTGAAATATGAAGAGAACCGGGTGCCTTTTTCGGATTTTATAATCGTTTTGGTTATTTAAAACTTTTGAACCTTTGTGGGAGAGGTAGCAGAAGCAATGGTTCGATCTCTACCATCTTTATAACACATCCTGGGCTGATAGAAATATTGAAATTGTGACAAGTCCGAATGGAATTGTGTTAATTTGGCGTTCTACGAGCTTCATGGATATTGCAAATGTTGACCCTGTGTGTGGGAGGTATTAGAAGGAGTAGACCGATATATTCCATCTTCACACCAGAATCTAAAACCACAATATATAAATGTTTGAAATTCTACTTGAACTTGGAGATATAACATCAGAATCCGAGGAACCTCCAAAAATTTTAGATTTATTATGCACATATCTATCGATCGATTAAAGATACAGTCGCGATATGTATGTCCGATTCTAACGAAATTTGGAATGAGTGAAGGAATTTAGTACACAAATATATTGACAAATTATATTGAAATAGGTTAAGATTTGGATGCAGCTCTCATACATATTTTCGGCCGATTTCATATGTTTGGTGCACTAAAACGATATGTATGTCCGATTCCAATTAAATTTGGAATGAGTTAAGGAATTTGGTACACAAATATATTTGGATGCAGCTCTCATATATCCGGTTTAAATTGGATTCCTCAGAATGAGTGACGGAATTTTGTACACAAATGTATTTGACAAATTGTTTTGAAATAGGTTGAGTTTATTGTATTGAAATCAGTGATAGTTTTCATATATATTTTCCTTATTTATGCACCAAACACAACAAGTATGTCCAATGAAATTCAGAATGTGTGCCGGAATTTGGTACGAAAAAGAATTTGCCCAATTATATTGAAATCGGTTCAGATTTGGATAAAGCTCCCGTAAACACGTTATGTATCCCCAATTTTAATAGAATTTGGAATGTGTGACGAAATTTGTTTCAAAATAAATTTTGCAAATTATATTGAAATCGGATGAGGTTCGAATATAGCTTCCATATATATGTTCGTCCGATTTCACATATTTCATGCACCAAACACGATATGTGTGTCTGATTCCAATTAAATTTGGAATGAGGGATGGAATTTAGTACAGAAATGAATTTGCCAAATTATATTGAAATCGGTTCAGATTTGGATATATCTCCCACCAAACACGATTTGTACATGTTAGAAGTACATGTTGTATGTTAGATTCCAATGCAATTCGGAATGAATGTCTGATTTTAGTAGAAATTAATTTTGCCAAATTTTATTGCAATCGGTCCATTTCCAAAAGATCCAAAATCAAATGGAAATGAAAACCAATTGCAGTGTCATCTGAATAAAAACAAGTAAAAAAGCTGTAAGTTCGGCCGGGCCGAACTTTGAAAACCCTCCACCATTTGGTACAAATTTAACA